AAGTCACTGGGTGGAGTGGGGGCGTGTGGGTTGAGGTGAAGATTTCTGGAACCTCAAAGATTAGATTTTGGTCCAAAGTTCTTTCTCTCACGATGGGCCTGATTTCCATGGAAAGAATAGATGTGCCATGTTCTAATTAGAGAGCTGAAGCCTTGCTGGATGCAAAATAAATAAAACCAACTGTCTTGGCTCCAGAGCTGGCCGAAGCCCTCAGAGACCTGCTGTCCCCATGGCAGGGGTGTGTGGAGAGCCTTAGTGGTTTCCTTACAGATGAGGAAACTGAGGGCCACACAGGAGATGGGATGACTGTCTGAGGACAGTGACCATCAGGGCCAGCTCTTCCTTCTGACCCACTGCCTCCAGTTTCTCCTGTAGTTCTTGGGTTTGCCATTCAGGGGATGCCCCTCCAGAGTCTGCTCATGTTCTGTGGGATCAGGTAGGTTTTGTGCTTGTTATGGAGGATCTTGGATCTTGTGGTGGTTCTGCTATCATTATCCATCCTCTGTTTTAGAGTAGGAAAAAAATGGCAAAGAATTTACCCCCATATTGACATTTTAAAGCGGTTGATTGAGATTGTGTGGGGGGGGAGCGGTTCCTCAAATTTTGCATTGTCTGTGTATTTCTGTTAACAGTAATGATTGTAGTGAGTACAGTGCCAGTCATGGTAGATCCTCGGATGACCAAAAAGATGAGTGAAATACAGCTGCTTCCTGCTGCAGAGCCTAGTGAGGGGAGACTCAGGGTAGCCACTCACGCTCTGTGTTTGCCTTGTCGTGTTAATGTTGCCATAGTAAGACACGAAATGGTTGACTTTCTTCTCTGGAGAGTGGGAGGTGAGGGCAAGGTAGGTGGGGGTTTGGAGATGAGATGGAGCCTCATTGGAAGGGGAGGGGTGTGGGCAGACCCAGTGGGGACAGTTTCTGACAAAGGTTCCCTCAGGATATTTTGTGGAAAAGTTTGACTCCTTTTCACAATGCCCCTTGAGGAAGCCTGCATACCTAACCAGCCAAGAAACTGGGACCCATTGGGCTTTTCTGGAGAATGTCACTTCCTGGGGTAACAAGTTACTTCTTGCTAGGTGAAGTAGGACTTGAATAGTTTCCTTCAAGCTTTTGAAGGTGTCCTGTGCTAGTTCTGAAGTTTTGGGTTTTGATGAGGAAACTAGTGTCTCTAGGCTTTTGGTCCTTCTGTGTACCTTGATCCCTGTCTAGCCCAAGGCTGTGCAGACGGAGGGTGCTTGGTATGTTTTATCTTTCATAATAAGGAAACCTGTTAGTTTGCTGAGAGTTCTCACTGTTTCTTGGGAGTCCGTTATGGAGAATAAACTTCGAGATGTTTCGATGAGCGGATGGGTAGGTGGGAGGGTAGGTTGGGTGGATGGCTGGCTGCTTGAGTGGGCCGAGAATGCTTATCCAGGCTCGGGTGAGTCAGAAGTCTTTGTAAAATGCCTGTGACATTTGAGGCCTTCTCGACAGCTGGGTGTACGGGCAGCAAGCAGGTCCTGAATCTCCTGAGGGCCCACTGAAGTTTGTCTGACCATTCCCTTCTAGCATCTGCTGGAGGTTCCTTCCTGTTAGGTTCATCTGTTGAGGAACCTTGTCCTACGTTGAGTATCCTACATGCCAAAGGAATATGGAACAATGAAGGAGGATTGTTTTTAAAGCTTAATTTATATTTAAATTATCACAGCTTTACCCTGGAGATCTGTGAATTTTTAGCATTTGTGGCTTCAACAATTCACAAGTGACAGGAGTAATTTATAACCTCCCTGAGCGTAACTTTGATTCTTGTCCCGAGAAGCAGCTTGGCCCCCTAGTCGCTGAGCTAGTGGTAATCCTGGCACACTGTCCAGTGCCTCCAGCTCTTGGACGCTGCTTATTCACACATAATCTAATTTCATCCTTACAGTAACTGGGCATTGGGTGTAATTGCTGTGGCTTTTATACCTGAGAAAATCGAAGGACTTATAGGCCCTATACATGCTCGTTTTTGAAAAGTAGAAGGAAGAAAAAGTCACCCCATCATTCCATCACCTGGACGAACATTGTGCTAACTTCTTTTGGGGGGTGGGTGGGCGGAGGGCTGTATTTCCTCTCAGGCTCTTTTCTGTCTTGTCCAGTTAGCATTTCTGCATAATCACATTCTAGTCAGAAAACTCTCATTACAAAAACTATCAGTGAAGAAGCTCTGTAGGCTCCATCTCCAGACTGGGTCTTTTTCCCCCCGGGTAGGTGTGGTTTCTGGAGGGCTTCGCCCTGGGGCTTCTCTTCACAGTCTCTGGGCCCAGCTAACCCGGGAGCGGTCCATTCAGCCAGCATCCCTGGCTCAGGCATTCAGACCCAGAGCAGGGCCCTTTGTGTCTAAAGTAGTAGTTGATTGGAGTGCTAATGAATCAATTAGAAAATTACTTGCTGCTGAGGTCCTCAGCCAAAGGAGGGTGTACGCGGTCTTAGAAAGCCATCCGAAGGCCATATGCCTATAAATCTCTCTGGCTGTGGCCCTTATAAATTGCTCAGCAGCCTTTCTTGGACCGGTTCATCGCTTGAGAAAAATGGGACCTCTTCTGCTTTGCAAGGGCTGCCTTGCATGTGGGCCAGTTTTCTAGCATGTACTTTGGTCCACTCTTCCGTGGTGAGAAAGAGAAGACCAGAGTACCTCGTAACAGCCTTTGTGTCTCACTTTGGAAGAGGACCATTTAGGAGCATTCCCTTGTGCTTTCTTAGGAGCCATTCCCTTGTTCTTTCTATTGGGAGGGACTGTTACTATCTTGTGCCAGTTTTTATGGCTTGGCGGGACTGGAGCTCCGAGGGGAAGCAGTCTGCCCTCTTGTCACCCATCTGAGGCAGTGGTTTGGCCTTCAGATCCCCAAGTCTTCCAAATGTCCCTCTGCTCTCCTGCCTTTCCACACAAATGCCCCCCCCAAGTCCTAGATCTTAGTGGGTCTTAATAGTCCCAGGTGGGCAGTGGCAGGTGAGACACAGCCCTTGGGTGGTATGGTAAAGGCATTTCCAGTTCAGTATCCTGAGTTAGGTTTGGGGCGGGCGAGTTGGAATGACAGCAGCCATGGCTGATGGGACCTGGGGTAGGTGATGGACCAGGGGGGGTCCAGATGGCAGTTTGTGTTATGCATTTCAGGACATTTGCCAGGGTGTTTGAACCCGAAGTGGAAATGGGTAGAGGGGAGAGAGGTTAAAAAAAGTGACATTTGGGAGCCATCTCTTGAAAGAGATCTGCAAAACGATGAGTTTGATGTTTTTCTGGCCTTCCCACACCTGTTTCCTCGTTGGCTCCCTATCCCGTGTGATGACACTCCCACCCCCTCAAGCCCTCAGTTTATGAAGATGGCTAAGGTGTCACTAATCCTTTACCTGTTTGGTCCAAGAGGAGCCAGTGTGCCTCTCCGAGGCTGAAACCAGAGACGGCTTTGTGCTGGTTTCCTCTTTTAATTTGGCTTCATTTAAGGGGATCCTGTGGCCCCTTTCATTCCCCGGTTGGGGGCGGGGAATGTTTATAACCTCAGATTTCTGTCCTTTCGTTCAGCGTGTCATGACAGTTTTTTTTGTTTTTTGTTTTTTTTTAGATTTTATTTATTTATTTGACAGAGAGAGAGAGAACACAAGCAGGGGGAACAGCAGGCAGAGGGAGAGGGAGAAGCAGGCTCCTTGCTCAGCGGGGAGCCTGCTATGGGGCTTGATCTCAGGACCCTGGGATCATGACCTGAGCCGAAGGCAGATGCTTAACCAACTAAGCCACCCAGGCGCCCCGTGTCATGACAGTTTTGATGCCTCTGCATCCAGCGGTGGGTACTTTAGATACCTGGCACCCAGCAGTCACTTTTTTCATCTAACGTTTGAATGCTTATTGTGGGTCCAGCCCGGTTGTAGGTGCTGGGAGTTCATCAGGGAGCAATACAGACGCTAACCTGCCTGTCCTTGTGGAGCTGACATTCTAGGGGATGGTACTGTGGGACACCTTGGGTCTCAAGGCAGTTTGTATATGCACTTCAGGACACTTGCCAAGGTGTTTGAACCCGAAGTGGAAATGGGTAGAGGGGAGAGAGGTTAAAAAACACCAAGCCGCCAGGCTGGCTCTTTTTAATATGCCCAACATTGTGCTGGGCATTTTATATTTGTCACCATGTTCCATCCTCAGAAGAGCTTCATTAACGCAGGTATTGTCACCCCATTTTTGCAAGTGAGGCCACTGAGAGCACATAGCAGGTGCTCAATAAAGGTGCCTGTCGGCTGGATGCATGGCATACTGCTTGAAGGCAGTGGAGCTGGGTTTCTAGCCCAGTCCAGATTCTCGACAAGACATCAGGCTGCCTGTCCAGTGCTTGTACTTGTCCCTTGAGGCCAGCTTCGTTTTGTGGATTTGCTTTGAGTGTGAATGCCAGAGCTTAGGAAGATTATGGTACAAGGTCCTGTTGTGATCTGTAACCAACTAGATGTGTATCACCATCATTGCTGCCGCTGTCCCTGCTGGAGGATTCCTTTGTTTCTGGTGGTTTCATAGAAGTGGAAGTGAGATCTAGCAGCTACTCGACTTTCCCAGCCACTGTTGTCAGTCCCCTGGCCTTGCTGCTTGAGGCACATTGGTGCCACCATCTGAGTTGTGAGTGTCATAGAGGAGTGAGACTGGGATCCACCTGCCCCTACTCCTCAGGGCCCCGGGTGACTCTGTTCCTTAAGTTGGCAAAGGCGAGGCAACATGTGGAACCTTTAACCTCCTTTGTCTACCTGGCCAGCATCTTGGTCATCCTATGTTGAGGGGTATGGGCAGACCCAGTGGGGTCACAGGAAGTTGGAACTTGGCCACACCAAGTTTCAGGTATTGAAAATCCCCAGCAAATAAAAGTCTAGCCCTTGGAAGGAAGCAGGTTGGCTTTCTCCTTGTGGAAGCTCAAAATGCAACAGCTCTGTGGGTAGTCGGCTCTCCAGTGTTACCCTGCTTGGCAGGCTGTTGAAGTCAAGTTCCAGGCAGGCGTCAAGTTGGTGGAGGAGGGAGTTACAAGCATGTGGTTGGCCACAAGGGCAGGGGAGATGAGGTCTGCGTTCTTTGCCTCTTGTCTTTGCTCTTGACGTTCAGGATCCTTCTTGAACTTTCTCCTTTTCTCTCCCTCTTTCTGCCAAGTCTCTTGACTTCCAGCCACCTTCCACTTGCTTCCCTACATCTCTGCATTTCCCAATACCTTGCGCATTGCCTCAGATTCTCCTTGGCTGTGCTCAGTTGGCAGGCCGAGGGACAGAGTCCACCACCCAGTAAAGATGGCCTTGTGTCACTGTGACGGGGCTCTGACCTGTCCTTAGCAGATGGTGGTGGGAGGTCAAGGGTGGTTGCATGGATGTGTGAAGGCGGGTCAGATTAACACTGCATTGGGAACAGTGCAGACAGGGAGGAAGGGGGTGGGTGAGAGTGTAGTTGCAGGTCATAGGGTTGGAAAGAGTTCAGGATGGATTCGTTTCCTGGGCTGCACTAATAGACTGCCATGAATGGGCTGGCTCTAAAACAACAGAAATTCATTATTTCACCGTTCTGGATGTTTGAAGTTCAAAATCGAGGTGTCGGCAGGACGGTGTTCTCCTGAAGGCCCTAGAAGAGTATGTATTCTGCCTGTGCCTTTCTCCCAGCTTCTGGCGTTGCCAGCAGCTGTCTTTGGTGTTCCTTGGCTCTGCCTCTGCCATCACATGGCGTCCTCCCTGTGTGTCCGTGTGCCCACCTTTCTCTTATAAGGACACTAGTCATAGGTTAGGTCCTACCCTACTCCAGTATGACCTCATCTTCACTTGACTGTGTCTTCAAAAGATCTGTTTCCAAGTAAGGTCGCGTTTACAGGTACAAGGGTTAGGACTTGAACAGATCGTTAGAAGGACACGACTCAACCTACAACACAGGGTGATCGTGCTGGCCCCAAATCCAGAGAGCATATTCGAACTCTGGTTTGAAGGGGCCTTAAAGACCCTAATCGGTTCTGTAATTTCAATCAGTCCAGGGCATTTATGTTAGGAACCCTGTGCGTGCCAGGTTCTGGGCTTCGCCCTGCGCAGAGGGGAGAGACTGCGTGGCCTTTACAGTGAGAAGCTTCTGTGGAGACCAGGCTTTTATATGCAAGTACTTGAGGGATGACCTGAGAAATGCAGACAGGCTTTTTCTTTCCTGCCCTGTTAATTTTGAGGCCACCTGGATCCAGCCAGGATTTCCTTTCCCTGCCCTCTGGAAGAAGGTGATAGGGAAGGAGGTTGGGAGCCCCTTGATCTGGAGGTTTTTTGAGTGCTCAGTGTCCTCCTTCCAAGCGAGGGCAGGACTTAGAAGGCTTCTGAAGTGTGCTTCTTGGGGTCTGTTCCAGGCAGCCGTGGGAGCTAGGAACTGTTTTCTTGGAAGGACAAGGAGGGATGGTTCTTAATAGGGGCTCCCGTGTTTTGTTGTGGATAAACATGAAGCCAGTGTGGGTTAGTGGCTTATGCTTCAGGCCAGCCCCTTTCCTTCCCTCCCGGAAGGTTCCTGTAGGAGCAGTGAGAGAACCGTGATTAGTCTGCTTGCCACGCATGAGAATTCCTCCCAGGACTTTACCAGTCCCCCTGGGTCTGAGAAGGATCTCCACACAGACGACAAGAGTGGAGCAGAAAGCATTTGTAGCTATTGTGTTGGTGAAAACCAGCGTAATGTAAATAGGAAGTCAGGATTATATGTATCCTCAAAACGCTGCCACTAAAAACCACACTCGCCAAATGAAATTGACAACAACCACACGACCCTAGCGTCCAGAGCGCTGTCTGCAGGCGGCCAGGGCTTAGGCGGTGGGGGCACTTTGTGCCCTTCCCCCCCCTTGTCCCCCCCCCCCCCCCCAAAAAAAGAGAAGGAAATTAATTAGGCATTTCCCCCGATTCTTTCACCTCTTATAAGGCCTTCACCACTCTGAAGATACAGAACATGTTGAATCCAGAAGATTCACCGCCCTTTCTCCCAGTCACTACAGGGGACAATTGTTATGTTCCTAAATGACCAAACCACAGGGGATTCAAGGAAGTATCTAGGACACACTTTAGTCTCCCCAGTCTACCTCCAGAGTGACAGCTCTCCTGGGAGTGGCTTGGATCCCCCATTCCCAGAGCGGGGGCCCTCAAGAGTCCACTTCTGCAGATATTCATGATGCCGAGACTGGTGATGGGCTTCACACAGGTAGCTTTGTGAGTCATTAGTTTCCAGTCTTACTTCCAAACAGTATTGTGGATGTATGTTCATTGTGAAGGAAGTTAGATAAAATTCTGGCACGTCCACTGTCCAGAGATTAATATTGTTAATACCCTGATTTGTATCTTGCTGGTGGGACTTACTGTCTGAACACGCCCCTGCCCGTAGGAGTCTGGTGCAGTGGGGTGATACCTGTAGTCCACTTGGCTGCTTGAGCCCGGCCATCCAACCACAGGTGCCTCCCGGCCAGTACCCTCCCCACCGTGTGCCTTTTCAGGCCCCACTGTCTGCCTGGCTCCTTGCCACCATCTCCCTTCTTCCCCTCTGGTCTTCTCTTCTTTGGGAGTGCAGACCGCCTGCCTCAGTTTGCCAAGTTGCATGTCCTCTTCTTAGATTCTAGAACCTGTGTCGCATGTGGTTTCCCTTCCAGGAGGCTTGCCCACACACTCACTGCCTGTGGCAGTCCTTCTCCCAGTCAGGAGCTCTTTGTAACCCATGTTACCCAGAACCAATTTCTTTCCCTTGGGGCGAGGAGAATGGGGTGTCTGTCATCCTTGCTCCCAAGTCCTAGAGGCCAGGACTACTATGCCAGGGGGAAGACCGTGCATGTCCAGTATGGAGCAGAGCTTTCACATTCATGGGCCCACAGATCCCCACGAGACTGATGAGCTGGGTGTCCTCTCCAAACAGTACATGTACAAATCACTGTGTGTAACAAGTCCAGGGGTTTGAAGACCCTTTGAAGCCCTTCCCTGTGGTTGTTCAGGGAGAGGCATGTCCCTCTGTCCCTGGGTGTGCCCTGTGGCTGGCTTGGCCTTCTGGTGCCCATTTTGTCTTCCATAGGGTGGGGGCAGTGACAGACAGTGATGTGACAGTTATGCTTTTGGGATAGTGACTGTGGTTGTTAGTAGCAGGTCACATTAGGCTGTGCACCCACCCTTCCCTGTGACCCAGCGAGGGGCAGGTACTCGTAGCCCCATTTCTCAGATGAGAAAACTGGGACTCAGAATGGGGACATAACGAGCCCAGGGCCAGAGAGTGAGAGTCAGAGCCGGGACTGCGGCACAGGTCAGTGTGGCTTCAGAGAGCATGCCAAACACCCGATTTGCCACAAGGAATGTAGTAGGTGCTCAATAAATGGTAGTAACAAAAGCCACAGGGGGTTAGGGCACTGCCAACCTGTTGGTTGTGGGGCTTCCCCTCCCCTCCAGGCCCCCACCTGTCCTGAGTATCTCCCGGGTGCAAGATCTGGGCTCCAGAGCTTTGCAGGTGGGTGGAGGCGAGCACAGATCCGCCAATCCCGGGAAATGTGTAAAATCCTGTTCCTGAAAACCGGCCGGGTTCTCAAAGTGTCCCGGCTGGCGTGTTTTGCTAGTCACGAAACATGATCCATACGCTGTATTTTAGGACTTCCCATCTGTCGGCATAGGGAGGGTTTTCACTTGAGGGAGCGCAAAGCGTGGCAGCTCACTGGGCTGGGGGGGGTGCGCAAGGAGGATCTGTGACAGCAGGGTGGCTCTGCACCTCCATGCAGAGCACAGTCTGCCTGGTTGGGGGTCAGGATCGGTGTCCTTGGGAGGTTCCGGTCAGCAGCAGCCCAGATCCCTTTTCCCATCACTTCACTCGGTTTTTAGACAGATTCCCACATTTTAGTTAAGCAGACTGAGGTACAGGAAGGTGAAGTGACTTGTACGGGGTTTCAAGGCTGTGCTGACATTAGAACCTAAGTCTTTTGACTGTCCAGTGGCCTCTCCCTTCCCTGAGTCTGTTCTTCTGCGTCGCGGGGTTCAGCTCTGTAGGTGGTACAGGGCAGGGTGTGGGAGACCATGAGGGCAGGGAGGGGTAGGCCTGGCGCCCCACCCGGCTGGCCGCCTGCGGTGGAGGCCAAACGCTGAGAGAGGGCTATCGATCCACCATCTCCTCTGAGGGAGGGCCGGAGCACATTCGAGGCTTTCTTTTTTAAAAATGCATTAACTTGACCGTAAGCAGGCCCCAGTTTAAAAATAAATAAATAAAAATAAGACAAGCCAAACAAGTGTGGGAGTGGGAGGCAGGGATGGATCAACATCATAGAAAAACTAAGAGTGTGTTTGAAGAGGGTCCTTCTTGATGGGTGGGCCAGTTGCAGGCAGGAGGCCATGCCTGGATTCTGGGCCCCGAGACTGCTTGCCGCTGCTGTGCCCGGGTTATCTCTCTCTTCCTGGCTCAGTCTGTGCAGGAAACTTTACCCAAAGCCAGAGGTTCCAGAAGGACCCCCTCTGGGGTTGGTAGTTGGGGGGATGGAGGAGGTCTCTCATAGAGTGTGGGGGCAATCCATATGGGAAAACCTGCCTGGCTAGCCCCCAGCTTGGGCAGTTTGGTCTCCTTTTTCCACCCTTAAGCCACCCTGGCCTTCTCTTGGTTTCTCACAAGGGCCGTTCCCTGCCTAGAAGGCGCGTCCCTCCCTTCCCTTGCCCTCTGGTCTCCAGTTCAGCACCTGCCCATCCTTCAGATCTCAGCCCCAAGGGTACCTCCTGATCTCCGCCTCCTGTCATAGATCCCCAAGGCTCTCAGTACTTCTCTTTTGTAGTGCTGACCACAAGCATAATAAAAGAATTAACTTACCTTTTCCAGCATTTAGCAATTAAGCTTGGGGAAGGCAGGGACTAGTCTGTCCTGTTTGCACAGCACAGTAAAGGGGGTAGTAAACCCTGGTGGAGTGGATAGATGGCAGGTCAGGGTCTATCCGGTTTGGCCCATGGATGCAGTGTGGGTGAGGGTGGAGGGAACAAACATTGGGGATCCCAATTCACTGTGATTTCCTAATGTTTCTAGAGGCACGGGCCCACTTCAGGGTCAGGATATGGTTTCAGAGTGGAGCCCCAAACACTTGAAAAACAGGGTGACTTCTGCCCACAGCTCCTTAGGCCAGGGTATGCAGCCTCCCGGAGCTTGTGTGTTTGGAAGCTTGTCCCAGCCAGCCTGTTCCCTTAGTGGGTGAAAAGACACGGAGCCCAGAGAACGGAAAGGACTTGGCCGAGATCACACAGCAGAGCCTTTGAAGACCTTGAATTGGGCCCCAGTGTAAAAGCCAGTGAATTAGGCACCCAGTGCAAGCATTGTTTCCTTAGCTCCATGTAGCGGCTCTGCTGGGGAGGCATCATTTGTGGAGGAGAAATGGAGGCTCTGTGAACTTGGCCGCTTGCTTCAGAACGCAGCCCAGGCGGCATCGGAACTCAGGTCTTTCTGATTCCACATCCCGGTGCCTCCCAGCAGCGACAGCCCCGGTTCTTGGACTGGCTCTGGTGGGGACCCTACCTCCTGCTAGCCAGTGGAGGTGTAGCGACTTACAGGAGGGGGCTCCACTGCTTCCGGCCATCGGTGCTGGGGGGACTGGTGGTTCGCCGAGACCCCCTTTCCTCGCCCACCCGGTTTCACCTTTTTCTGTGTCCTTCCTCGTCCCCTCTGAGAGAGCTGCCAAAGTTCATCTCTCTCCTGGGCCTCCTGGAAAGGGACAGAGGGTGATGAGGCAGAATTTGCACCATTCTGGGAGTAACTTTCCATCATTTGTGGCTAAAAATAAAACGTGCACTTGCTCCTCCCTGCCTCTGGGCTTTCTTTCGGGGTTTCACCGGGAGCCACTTGCCCCTCGGATCCCCCCCTCCTTGCTGCCCCTCAGCGGGCATGGGGACCACAATTTGGGCACGTGGGTGGGCTTGCTGCTACTCCCCCTCCCTAAGAACAGGGTGCACAGGGCCTCCACGAGAAGTGCATCTGCTTTCTGCAGCAGCAGACAGCCGGGTCGGTGGGCTGGCGCTCTGCATGCATGGGGACGCCAACTCCCTTTGCAAATAGTACTGCAGCTGAAAAGAGACAAACCCCTTTAGAGGGCTTTCCTTGTGCAGCCTGCTTCTTTCTGATATCTGGAATGCACAGAGGCAGGAGAGATAAATTAATTTATTCAGTTAATTTTGTAAATATTGACTGAGCAGAAGTTTTATGCCAGTCACATGACAGGGACCCGAGGGCTAACCAAAAAGCAGCAGGACACACAGTCCGTTCCTTGAAGGTGTTTATCCTCTATCCAGGTGGGGGAAGAAAGATCTGAGTGTTCAGATAGAACTAGAGCAGGTGAGCCATGGGTCCTGGCTCTCTACAGCACCCTTCCTTCCAGAATTTGGTTGCAATGTCTGCCTGATTGGGAGCTAAATGCCGAACTGTACATTTTGCCTTTCCCTCCTTTTAAGGCACTTTAATTCTTTTCTCCCCCAGCCGAAAAAAAGAGGAAAGGTTTTTTGTTTTGTTTTGTTTTTTTGAGTGCTTATCATGTGCTAGGGCTGGGTACCCTGCTAGTACTATACTTGCATTTATTTTCCTGGACTCACAGTCACCCTGGGAAATAATTTTTACTCTCATTCTTATTTTCCAGTTGATGAAATGGAGGCCCAGAAAGGTTAATTAACTTTCCCAAGATCCCACAGCTAAAATGTTGCAAAGCTTGGATTCAGGTGTAAGCAGATTAATTCCACAGCTCACTCTCCTAACGGCTATCTGTATAGACACATCTACACTCCCGTCTAGAGTTTGCATTCATTTATCTGAGCATGTGTGTCTGTTAAGCACCTGCCATCCATCCAGCATGAGTTATTCTAAAGGTGCTTTCTCTTTAAAAAAATCTTCACTATGCTTTCCCTTTGATCTTTAATATTCCTAGTCACCCTGTGGGAGAGGAATTGTACCCCCAATCCCCAACTTC